ATCTATCTATCTATCTATCTATCTATCTATCTATCTATCTATCTATCTATCTATCTATCTATCTATCTATCTATCTATCTATCTATCTATCTATCTATCTATCTATCTATCTACCTACCTACCTACCTATCAATCTATCTATCTACATATCTTTCTATCTATCTATCTGTCCATATAGATATAGATATATATATATACTAGCCAGTACCTAGCATGCCTTGCAATGCAACCACTCAAATAAATAAGTGTATGTTTTAATTATGTGTTTTTGAATTATTTTTTAAATATTTTTTTTTGTCTACCGTCTGGTCCTTACTCGAAACGATTAGAAGGTTGTTTTCGAAACGTGAGCGGGCCATCACAGCTTTCCATGTGAGAAGCATGGATGTTTAAAATGTAGTCCATACAGTGGTAACGATTGATGCACCCAAGCAAAAGCTATGTTTGAAATTATATTTATAAAGCTCATGTAGTGAATTTTTTTTTTTTAAATTGGGGCCTTACATTCTCTCCATCGCTACCCCAGGTGATATTGTGATATTACATTATTAGGCAGGGCCTTACACTTAGAACAATGACTCGATGAACAATGGAAATCACCCTGATCATCTTAACCATGACCCGGGTTAAGCAATGCGCTTCTGGTCAGGGCGTCAGTCGCGACGCTAGAATGCAGGGCAGGACGCCATACTGTGAGTATTTATTAAAGGGCCTAGCATTTATCGCCCTCTTTCACATGAAGTTTGTCAGCAGAGCCTGGCTAATGCTTGTAATGTGACAAAGTTTGTTTATACATAATTTAACCAGCCAGTTTGAGTAAGCACCAGTACAGCTTGAGTTAATCCCAGCATAGTTAGTATAGTTGAACATAGTGAAGTTGAGTTTCAATTTGTAAAATTAGTACAGTTGACTTTAGTCACAGTACAGTTGAGTTGAGTTTAGTCACAGTGGTGTTGTGTATAGTAGAGTCGGTATATTAAACCATAGAGCATAGACCACTCAGTACAGTTGAGCAATTTAGTTGGGTCGCGTGTATGTGTCCACCGTTAAATTTTTAGATTTTAAACCTACCACGTCGCATTGCGAGGGACCAGAGACACCGCAGTGCTCTGTGACGAGTGACCAGCGAGAGCGGAGGGCAAACAAACAATCAAGACTGTGTGTGTGAGTTTGTTTTGGACCTGACCTGCTACAGAGGACAAGATAGCCAATAGAACTTTGTCCATCGCAAAATGTATTAGTATTATGCAGTATATTTAGTCATTAATTTACTTGTGCATGTGTGTAGTTAATAAAATTATGTTTATAATTAAATATTTATTTTGTTGCGCTGAACCAACCGAATTTCTTAGCATCGTGATAGTATTAATAAAAGTGAAAGAGATTGAGAGTTTCATTGAATGTTAGAATGGGTGATGATGGGCTTAGTTTAGAGTATTTAATTGGTATTTAATTTAGTTTAGAGTTTAGAGTATTTAATTAGGAATTATTCAAACCCAGACTCAGCCATTGTGGCAGTACAAATCTAACGTAAAGTAAAACAGCATAAAACACTTATTAAAACAACATTATAAAGCAAAATCTATTATCTTTGACTTACATCGACATGCCTTGCTGCGTCTATTAATCGTTGCGTTAGGACAGGATTTAATTGCTACCTGGGTAGACATTGGTGACAGCATGGCGTAGTGGGTTGAAATTGAGGAAGAGTGATCGTGTATATTATAGCGATACACAATTTGATACTTTCACTGCCAACCACAGACCGCACGTGAGACCTATCTTGCGAGTATTTGGAGATAGACCTGGAAATCACTTGTACCAGTGTTGCCACATTACCCACACAGAGAGGTAAGTGTATGTACGATGTCTAAATAAAGATGCTTTATGGTAGTTCATATGACTAATGGGTACGTTATATAGAAGTTTATTATTTTGGAAGACTACAGTAGATA